TTGCCACGTGGCTGAACGACGGAGAGAGATGACGGCGAGCAGCGATGCAGTCCGGACCCAAGACTCCCCCACACCGACCTCGAGTCCTCCTCCACTTATATAGCCGCAGGCGCGGCTAGGCCCTGCCTCCGGCCACGCCCTCTCGTGGAACATTCTAGACAACTGCGAGGCGCCAGGTGGAGGAACAACAGGCGAAGGTGGTGGGCAGCAAGCCACGTGGAGATCCGGCGCGACGAACGATTGCCCAAGTTCTGGGGTCCTCTCTATATGTTGTTATCCTCGCGGCACTAGCGGCGTTTGGCTCGGCCATCGAACAAATGTGGTGGTCGCCGCATCGCGCGCTTTCAAATGCGGTTCTGCGACTGTCTGGAACGCCCGCCCTTCCGATATGAGGAAGCCACTGGAGCTGTGCACTTTTAAATCGTCATCTAGATTGACGAATCGTGGTCCTTTTAAACTGCCCTTTGTGTTTAGTTTGTGGTCCTTTCTCCGATTGGCGCGGTTGGCTACGTTATGGTGTGAAAGAAGTTCAACATACATATATACAATGTATTATCGTCCAATGAATGAGCACTTTAATTGTGGGAAGAAACCAAAGCACTCGGAGAAAACCGACGCGTGCGAGGGGGAAACGCTCGATCCCGTACATGCGAATGGCGCGAAATAAGTTAAACTTCCAGACGGAACAGGTGGAGTCCATATTGTTGCACAGTATTGTACTGCCTTGTGTCGAGCCAGGGTACTGCTCCTCCGATACGATCACGGAAGTTTCGCGACATCTGTCTGGTGATCCACTAAGCCCGGCTGCTGCCTCCACAGCGCTGGGTACAGCTGTGCATAGCCGCCTCCGTCCGTCTGGGTTAAAATGGCTGAAGCTGTTAACTTAATCACAGGTCTTGCATTCAATTTCAATATGACAAAGCTAAATACAATTTAATGTGACTTAAAGCTTTCGTGACTGCAGGAATTCATATTCTTGGGTCTTTCGGTGAAGTCACGTAGATAGGTTCAAAGAAAAGAACACAATCTTAATTTGAAGCTTTCGTGACTGCAGGAATCCATACTCTTTGTTTTTTTCGGTGAAGTCACGTAGGTAGAAATAAAATAAAACAAATCACGACGTTTCGATCGCAACGTGCGGTCGTCATCAGCCTGAAGACGACGTTATTAGCCTGATGACGACCGTGATTTTACCGAAAGAACCAAAGAGTATGAAAATAACACAATTGAACATATCCCGGAAAAGCCTTGCTACGTTGTGAGGTGGTATTGCAAGTGATTGAGGTCCGGAGTTTTACTCTGTGCTACCTTTCCGGTAAAGATGTAAAACTAAACTATTTTGTATTTTATTTTACCAGGTACGGCCCACTGAGCTATGTAGCTTTTTTCTCAGGAGCGAACTGGCCACAAATGATAGCTCTACGAAGTGGCTCATCGTGTGGACATTCACAGCAGCCGAATACTCCAAACGCACGTCATGTTCATTCGAAATATGGAGGGGAAAAACCGGAGGACCTGGAGAAAATTTCATGAGACACGCAGACTCCAAATAGACAGCAGGCGTCAGGGTCAGGATCGAACCCACGACCTCCTGTACACCAGGCGAGGTAGTTAACATCTCCTAGCCACCGTGATGATGATGATGAGAGAGAGAGAGACACACAAAATCCAAATATACAGCAGGCGTCAGGGTCGGGATCGAACCCACGACCTCCTGTACACCAGGCGAGGTAGTTAACATCTCCTAGCCATCGTGATGATCATGAGAGAGAGAGACTCAAACTCCAAATATACAGCAGGCGTCAGGGTCAGGATCGATCCGACGACCTCCTGTACACCAGGCGTGGTAGTTAACATCTCCTAGCCACCGTGATGATCATGAGAGAGAGAGAGAGAGACTCAAACTCCAAATATACAGCAGGCATCAGGGTCGGGATCGAACCCACGACCTCCTATACACCAGGCGAGGTAGTTAACATCTCCTAGCCACCATGATGATGATGAGAGAGAGAGAGAGACACGCAAACTCCAAATTTACAGCAGGCGTCAGGGTCGGGATCGAACCCACGACCTCCTGTATACCAGGCGAGGTAGTTAACATCTCCTAGCCACCATGATGATGATGAGAGAGAGAGAGACACGCAAACTCCAAATTTACAGCAGGCGTCAGGGTTGGGATCGAACCCACGACCTCCTGTATACCAGGCAAGGTAGTTAACATCTCCTAGCCACCGTGATGATGATGATGATGATGAGAAAGAGAGACACACAAACTCCAAATAGACAGCAGGCGTCAGGGTCGGGATCGAACCCACGACCTCCTGTACACCAGGCGAGGTAGTTAACATCTCCTAGCCATCGTGATGATCATGAGAGAGAGAGACACGCAAACTCCAAATATACAGCAGGCGTCAGGGTCGAACCCACGACCTCCTGTAAACCAGGCGAGGTAGTTAACATCTCCTAGCCACCGTGATGATGATGAGAGAGAGAGACACGCAAACTCCAAATTTACAGCAGGCGTCAGGGTTGGGATCGAACCCACGACCTCCTGTATACCAGGCAAGGTAGTTAACATCTCCTAGCCACCGTGATGATGATGATGATGAGAAAGAGAGACACACAAACTCCAAATAGACAACAGGCGTCAGGGTCGGGATCGAACCCACGACCTCCTGTACACCAGGCGAGGTAGTTAAGATCTCCTAGCCACCGTTATGATCATGAGAGAGAGAGAGACACGCAAACTCCAAATATACAGCAGGCGTCAGGGTCGGGATCGAACCCACGACCTCCTGTATACCAGGCGAGGTAGTTAACATCTCCTAGCCACCATGATGATGATGAGAGAAAGAGAGAGAGACACGCAAACTCCAAATATACAGCAGCAGGCGTCAGGGTCGGGATCGAACCCACTCTCTTCTGCATACCAGGCGAGGTAGTTAACATATCGCCACCTTCCGTACTCCGTTTCACTGCGCTGGGCAGTTGTGGGTTGGCGAGTGAAGATGCTTGCCGCGCGAGAATGCTCTACTGCTACTATGCATACATAATAGAGGGTTTTTTTGGGGGTTAGATCGCGTAAATATATAAATGTGTCGTTAAAACCCCACACCACCCGACACAGCCAACTAGTGAGGGTTGTCACGTAAACAGAACGTGTCCAATTCGTCACTAGTACAGCACTAGTGTGTAGTGTAGTGTGTAGTAGTGTATAGTGTAGTGTATAGTGTAGTGTATAGTAGTGTATAGTGTAGTGTATAGTGTAGTAGTGTATAGTGTAGTGTATAGTAGTGTATAGTGTAGTAGTGTATGGTGTAGTGTATGGTGTAGTGTATAGTGTAGTGTATAGTAGTGTATAGTAGTGTAGTAGTGTAGTGTATATTAGTGTATAGTAGTGTATAGTGTAGTGTATAGTAGTGTATAGTGTAGTAGTGTATGGTGTAGTGTATGGTGTAGTGTATAGTAGTGTATAGTGTAGTGTCTAGTAGTGTACAGCGTAGTATACTAGTACAGCACCACACCGGTGTGTTGGAGAGCCAAGCCACAACATTTACAATCTGAGTACGACGTTTCGGGCTTTTACGACACGTTAATATATTTACGCGATCTAACCCAAAAAAACCCTCTATTATGGATGATATCGGTCGCAAAATCTGCGACGATGCAGTCATTCAGCTCGGACCCTCTTGCGCTTGGATGGGAGCAGTGGATTGTGGGGACAGGAGGCCTGTCATCCGGAAGTGGATTGATGATGATGATGTTGATAATGATTCGGTTATCACTCGCCGCTCGTATGAGACGCAGTGGCGGGTCCGGGGAGATTTGGGTGGGTGGGGGTTGGGCTTGAGACCCAGAATATTTGACCGGATATTTTCACCGCAAGTACTTGTGGCGAATGCAGACACGATTCCTTGCAAAAGGTTTCAGTTTGGTGTTTGAGCATCTGAACACCTGTTTTGTTGCCAGAAAAAAGGGCAAAACCTCTTCTTATACCGGTATTTTAATATTTACCAAAGTATACGAAATGGGACCTTTTTGCCGTGCTAAAGGTTTCTATTTGGTGTCTGAACATCTTAACGCCTGCTTTGTTGCCAGAAAGGATTAAACCTGTTTTAATTTTTGTTCATACAAAGTAATACGTTTTTTTACATTTTATTTCTAGCATATTTTATTTAGGGGCCATATTTTTCTTATTTATTACCATATTTATTTAGTTTAGGACCATATTTGATTTAGGGCCATACAGTATATATATATATATTTTTAAAGCGTTGCAATTTCGGAATCGCCACACAGAAATTTCTCCCCCGCCCCCTCCCCCAACGCCTCCTTTGGAAGTTTCTAGAACACCCCCGTGGGTCTGTGGTTGAGACCGTGGCCCTGGGATCGAACTCAGGTGTGGGGGTCGGGTTCGTAGTGAGTGCAAGGAGGAGGAAGGGGGGGGTGCCACATCCAGCCACCACAACCATCTCGCGTCTCGACTACGACACAACACAGCAGTATTCGTGGCCATAGAATGTACGCGTTGTCGTTTACAGGACCCGTAAATATTCAACAAAAAAACACCCCTATTTCAAGAGCGGATGCGCGGTCAGGAGCAAAGTTAATTTGAGGATGGGGGAATGTGGATATCAATCTATAAAAAATATACTAAAGATTCCCCGTATAGCCTGAGCAGACTATAGGAGCAAGTGCTGTTCGCGAGCACCTATGAAGGTCAGCACAGCACACGAAGGGGGGGGGGGGTGGACAGCTCCACGCCCGGACGCCTTTGTCTCCCTAGTGAGCCAGGACACACACACACACACACTCTCTCTGACGGACATCCCGTGTGTCCACTCGCAGTGGCCTGCGCATTAGGGATGCGAGCCGTGTCCACTCGCTGCTGCTGCTGCTGCTACTGCCTCCTCCTCTGTCGTAAATCTCTGGGTGCGCACCGCAACTGCAGCTCCGTGGTGTCCCTGGCTCCTCCCATTGCCTCTCTCGCTCTCTCTCTCCCCTCCGCTTCATTCCTCCTCCGCTGCACACTCAAACTACCACCTCTTCAGTCCACCACCAGATTCTTCTTCATCCCTCGCTCCACCTTCACTCGGCGGCGAGGCGCCAGCCCCATCGCGAGGAGGAGGCAGCGGCGGCGACCTTCCTGCTGCTCCTCCCGCCTTGCAGCAGCAGCAGTAGAATCAGCTGCATCATCATCAGCAGCAGCAGAATCAGCTGCAGCAGCACCATCGGCGTCGCCACTCGCAGCGCTCCAGCGCCAACACCGCAGAGTCGTCGCCCCCCCCCCTCCCCCCGCGTCTCTGGCGCTAGCGCTCCGCGTGTGCCCGAGCGGCGTGGAGGAGGAAGAGGAGGACGAGGAGGGAGGAGGGAAGAGGAGGCGATCGCTTCGGTCGCTGTAGCCGCCGCTTCGCTACCCGTGGAGCCATGAGGCGCCTCTCGCTGCTGCTGCTGCTGCTCGCCCTGCAGGCGCAGCTCGGTGCCTGCCAGCGGTGAGTGGCGGGGTCCTCCTCCTCGTGTGCCAGTCGCGAGTGTGGGGGGCGAACCCCGTGGGTAGGCACCCCGGGCACCCCACGAGTAAAGCCGTGGCCGCTGCTTGTGTCGAGACCTGAACGCGCGCGGCCTGTCCCTCGGAGTCGGGTGGGTGGGGGAAAAGCGGAGATGCCGAAGCGACGATTGTGAATCAGAATAATAATGATGCGTGCGCGCGTATTGATGGTGGTTTCGTGGCTTTCCTGGCCGCCTGCGATTTCAACTCCAAGCAAACGCAGCAGCAGCAGTAGCAGCAGCAGCTGCTCATCATCATCATCTACTGCAGCTGCTGCTGCGTTTGCTCGACGGAGCTCACCCCGTGCCACAAATGTGCGCGGCGCGCGCTGCTCTGAAGATCATCCTCGTGAGTCTGTCTCCGCGCACCTCCCCGACGTGGTACGGTGCGAAAGAAGTCCCGCGGCGACGTTGGCACGTGTGAGAGCGGCGGATGTGGTGTTCTTGTGTCGTGTTAGTTTTGTTTTACATCGTAGGGTAAATTTGCCGAGCCAGATGATTGCGTGCGTCCGCGGTAAGCGGGAGTGGTTGCATCGCCGTCTTCTGCACAGATCTCCAGAGTCCGTGGGTCTCTTTGCGGCTGTTCTGCAATCTGAATCGCCTGCGTAGATATTCGCGGCGAGCCTCTTGGGTCTCCACGTTGAGTCCTGTGACTTCTGTGTCCGAATCGATACAGAACGCCGTCACGAGTCGTCGGATCCATGCGTGAGTCCGTGGGATCTTTGTTGGATACGCGCGCGCGTCTCGCTCCATAGCACGGCTCTGATGTCGATGGAGATTGGTGGCTCTGAACCTGGGGGGGTGCACGCTCCCTCTGGGGGTGCGAGATGCCCTTTGGAGGGCCGTGGGATTGCGAGACGCGGCCAGATGTTTGTTTTGAAGGTTAAGCATCGAAACACAAATTTACGCACGGGTCACACGAGCGCAAAAACTACACTTTGTTTCCATCAAATCGATGTGTTTATTAACATCGGACACGTTTTGTTGTTGCGACGATTGGGAACCAAAGGGGTTGGCAAGGCTGCAGGAAAGGTTAAAGAGCCACTGATATGTGTAGCGCAACCTTGTTGTTGTTGTTTTGTTGTTGTCATATTGTTTACATCGAGATGGTTGACAACCAGATAATTGCGTCGGGAGTGGTGCGCGCGCACCCCCCCCCACTCCTTCTGTGCGTTCGTGACGATGCCCCCCCCCCCCTCGCCCCCCAAACTTCCCCTTCTGTGCGAGGCTTCCCACGGCTCAGCTCTTCTCTCTCGTTCATCGGTGGTGGCGACCGACCACATTTGCCGCACACCGCCGGAAGGTGGCGGGCGGGATTTCTGAGTTCTCGATTTGTGCATCGCAAAATGGATCTATGCAATGACACGGCACTAAGAGATTGACCGTGCCAGAGTGCCAAGTGACGCGTGGTGGTGGTAGTGGGTTACAGATTTTGCCGAACGCGGAGTAATGCCCCCCCCCCCCCGCCGCTTGTACGCTCTTCGTCATGACGTTTTAACTCTTCGCCATCTCTCTCCTGTCCAACAACCTCGATTGGGTCTTTCCCTCCGATATTCCGCACATTCCCACCGCTTCTTGTCGTTGGCATTGCCAACATCTTGAGATAGCAGTGCATTATGGGTGCTGCAGGGCATCTCAGGAGATGGTCCGTGTGGTTTGCTACTCCTGACCAAGCACATTGTTCTGTTGTGCAGCAGAAGAACACCCCACCCCATCCCCTCCCACGATTCCACGATTTAATGAGAGAGTTGCATCTTGTCGAGACCCCACTCTCTTGAAGCCATTTGGAACTGGGAGCCAGACGCGAGCTCCTCGCCTGGGGGGGGGGGGGGGGGGGGTGCAATTGCAGAGCCAGGATTTTCAGGTGGGGGGGGTGGCAACCCCTCCAGCAATGAAAAATGATAGAGGAGTTGTTACGAAGTAAGGACTTGCTTTTTATTCGACGCGTGTGCGGTGATGGCGCAGCCGTCGATCGAGGGTCAAATTCGAACCGCGTTGTGTGATCGGCATCGCGCTCGCTGAAGGTGAATGCCTTCAGGGAAGTCGTGTCCTGTATACGCAACTGCGCACAATTCTGTGAGTCGCTTATAACCGCTTTGCCGTCACTTATTGCCAATTATGGACTCAGACTATTGTCCTATCATCTCATAGAGTCCCTGGCACGTAATAATATACTACACAGTGGCAGTGGGGGTCGCAAAATGCCGATTTATTACTAATAAACCCCAATGTTCTAATCGAAATTAGGGATTTCGATCGGATTATTGGGGAGGCACATGCCCACATGCCCCCCCCCCCAATAATCGATTTCTCGCCGGGCTCCATTCAGCACCTTTAACTGTTGCTGTTACATTTGATTTTGTATGATTTTAGTTTACGTACGATTGTTTTTTTTGTACTGCGTCTGTCTAACTTTTCAAATCCCTCTGTACGTTTTTCACCAATGTCGGACCCCCAGCCTGGGACTTTTTGAATAAGAGTCGTCATAGCTGATCGAGTCCTTCCAGCTGAAATCAAATGTCTGCGTTAGTCTCTATGCCTCTACGTAAGTTTATAGGTCTCTGGGTGTGTCCATGGATGTGTAAGCCTATGAATATCGGTATGAATCTATGGGTCTCTGAGTCCATTAATGTGTAAGCTTATGAATATTGGTAAGAGTCTATGGGTCTCTGTGTGAGTCCATGAATGTGTAAGCCTATGAATATCGGTGAAAGTCTATGGGATTCTGTGTGAGTCCATGAATGTGTAAGCCTATGAATATCGGTAAGAATCTATGGGTCTCTGAGTCCATTAATGTGTAAGCCTTTGAATCTCGGTAAGAGTCTATGGGTTTCTGTGAGTCCATGCATGTGTAAGCCTATGAATATCGGTGAAAGTCTATGGGTTTCTGTGCGAGTCCATGAATGTGTAAGCTTATGAATCTCGGTGAAAGTCTATGGGTCTCTGTGTGAGTCCATGAATGTGTAAGCCTATGAATCTCGGTAAGAGTCTATGGGTCTCTGTGTGAGTCCATGCATGTGTAAGCCTATGAATATCGGTGAAAGTCTATGGGTTTCTGTGCGAGTCCATGAATGTGTAAGCTTATGAATCTCGGTGAAAGTCTATGGGTCTCTGTGTGAGTCCATGAATGTGTAAGCTTATGAATCTCGGTGAAAGTCTATGGGTCTCTGTGTGAGTCCATGCATGTGTAAGCCTATGAATATCGGTGAAAGTCTATGGGTTTCTGTGCGAGTCCATGAATGTGTAAGCTTATGAATCTCGGTGAAAGTCTATGGGTCTCTGTGTGAGTCCATGAATGTGTAAGCTTATGAATCTCGGTGAAAGTCTATGGGTCTCTGTGTGAGTCCATGAATGTGTAAGCCTTTGAATATCGGTGAAAGTCTATGGGTTTCTGTGCGAGTCCATGAATGTGTAAGCTTATGAATCTCGGTGAAAGTCTATGGGTCTCTGTGTGAGTCCATGAATGTGTAAGCCTTTGAATCTCGGCGAGTGCTGAGTACTGTTGCAGAGACAGATTGTAAATGTTGTGGCTTTGCTCTCCAACACAACAGAATGCTGTACTAGTGACGAATTGGCATGTTCTGTTTACTGACAACCCTTACTAGTTGGCTTTGTCGGGTGGTGGCGGGTTTAACGACGCATTTATACATTTAACCCCCAAAACATTTTGGAGACGTCGTAGCTCGTCAAGACTCTTTCGGCATTAATGAAACGTCCGTGCCCCTGTCCCGTTGCGTCTGAATGTCAGCAATACGCGATTTCTGCGGAACTGAAGCGGTCCGTAGAATGTGCTGTTGTTTTTATATTCTTGGGTCTTTCGGTAAAGTCACGTAGATAGGTTCAAAGAAAATAACAAAAAAACTACGTGGTCGTCTTCCTGATCGAAACGTCGTAGTTTTTTTGTAAATTTTTGTTATTTTCTTTGAACCTATCTCTGTGACTTTACCGAAAGACCCAATAATATGAATTCCTGCAGTCGCGAAAGCTTTAGGTCAAGATTTGTTGTCGTTTAATTCTGCTTCAGGGCAATATATAACGGGACCCAGAGCAAAGGCGAATGCAGCAACAATCGAACGGCCATTTGCAATTTGCAACAACGCAGGTCGCGAAAACTCGGGGAGTTAGGGGCCGTCCATAAATGACGTCACGCACCTAGGGGGGGGGGGGGGGTCAGACATTTGTGACGATGTGTGACGAGGGGGGGGGGGGGGTGAGAAATGTGACGTCACATCAACATGCGCAACTTTGAATAAATATAGACAACACGTTCTACTTAATTAAATATATATTTTAATAAATGTTTTCTCCTATAACATCAGAGTGCACCGGCACATTAAATACGCACTACAATGACAATAGTTTAAAGCGATTTGAAGCATGTTTTATATATTTTTTTGGGGGGGGGGGGGGCAGAGCTTTGTGACGTCATATTTGAGGGGGGGGGGGGTCTGACTTTTTGTGACGCCGTGTGACCAAGGGGGGGGGGGGGGTGGACGTTGCGATGCCACAGGAGAATTGTAACGTCCATAGTTTCGAACGAAAGCCTTCTCTTCTGCGGCTTGCGTTCTTCCACCGTTACAACAAAATAAAATAAAGGAATTAATATCCTGACGTCCGTGATAATACATCACGACAAATTAACTCCGGCCTCCCCAGCTCACTAATGTTGGTGGTTGATGGCAAGCCAGTGTGGGAGCCACGAGACTTAACAGAGACTCGGTTCGCGGTAGGGATATGTATACACCAGTGTGGATCACTTGTCACTCGGGCAGACATCCGCAACGTACGCGTGCGTCCTCCTATCCAGGGAGCGAGTAGCAGGGGACACGCAAATTACAGAATGTTCCAAGTACACGCCACATATTTTACAATGCGCTGCGCCCAAAATCGATGAGGCTGAGAAGGCGAATTGATAAATCCATATGTCACATTTTATAATTAGAAT